CCCCCCCCCCCAGCAGCTCATCCTGCCCCCCCCCCGGGGCCCCCCGGTAGCTCGTCCTCTCAATACAGCAGGTCAGGCCTTTGATCTTCCCTGGTAAAACAGCCCCCCCCACCTTCTTGGGGGTACCCCAACCTCTCCGTGGGCGAGGGGGGCTCGCAGTGAGCTGCTGGTGACCGCAGCCCCTCGGGACAGAGCTTCCCCCCCCAGACGTGCTGCCCACTCCCGTGTCTCCTCCCATGTAACCCCCCCCCCACACACACACACACACACACTGTGGGGCGAGGGGGGGATGGGCTGTAGGGGGGGCACGGGGAGGGAGCAAAGCCCCCAGCTGGGGCTGTAACCTGTCTGCCCCCCTCTGGCATCAGGAGGAAGCAGGGGGGCCCAGGGCTGGAGGGCTGGGGGGGTAGCGCAGCCGCCGGGGGGAGGGGGGTGGGATCCTGTGCCGGCCCAGGACAGCAGGGCGCCCCCCAAACCGCCCCGGAGCGCCGCGGTTTTCTCTTGTGTCTCTTTTAAAGGCTCTTAACAGACCCTGACGACGCCCGGGCCAGGTACTGCTTAAAGAGAGAGAGCTGCCCCCATCCCACCCCACCCTGCCCCCCGTCCTGCCCCCCACCCTACACTGCCACCAGGCCCGTGCCATGGGCTGCTGGGACCCGTAGCCTGGGGCTGCCCCTCGGGTCCGGCCCCCCAGCCCAACGCCAGCCCGCGCTCCCAGCTCTCCCTCTTTAAGCAGCCAGGCCCAGGAAGGTAAGTGACGCAGCTGGGGTGAGGGACCCCCTGGTCTCCCCCCTACCCCCTCCTGCCCCACCCCCCGGCCCCGCTAACGCTCTGCTGTGCCTCCAGGAGTCAGGGCTCAAGGCCAACCAGCCGGCTTCCTTTGCAGTCAGCCTGAACGGCGCCAAGGGGGCACTGGACGCCAAGGTGCACAGCCCCTCGGGTGCGCTGGAGGAATGTCACGTCACTGAGATCGACGAAGGTGAGGCCGCCTGGACCTGGACCGGGGCCTGGACCCCAGGTGGGGTGGGCAGGGGGCAGAGAACCCAGGAGTCCTGGCTCCCAGCCCCCCCCCCGCTCTACACCACCAGCCCCCCTCCCCTCCCCGAGCCAGGGAGAGAACCCAGGAGTCCTGGCTCCCAGCCCCCCCCCGCTCTACACCACCAGCCCCCAGTCGCCTCCCAGAGCCAGGGAGAGATCCCAGGAGTCCTGGCTCCCAGCTCCGCACCCTACCCCCTCAAATTGCTGGCCCCTCCCCATTGAGCAAGCTGCCGCTCCTGCCCCAGGGCTGCTGGGGGGAAGGACCCCAATGCTGCCCCTCCTCTAATGCTGCTCCTACCCCCAGATAAATACGCCGTGCGCTTCATCCCACGGGAGAACGGCGTCTACTCCATTGACGTCAAGTTCAACAGCGCCCACATCCCCGGCAGCCCCTTCAAGATACGCGTCGGGGAGCCAGGCCAGGCGGGCGACCCGGGCCTGGTGTCTGCGTATGGCGCAGGCCTGGAGGGGGGCACCACCGGTAGGGGCTGCGGGGCAATGGCGGGGCTGGGGGGTCGGGAGTGAGGGGCGGGGTCGGG